TTTTTATTTATTTGATTTATATATTTTAATTTACTTATTTAGTTTTATTTATTTCGTTTTTATTATGTTATTTGTTAATTTGAATGTTTGGAGTTTAATATTACTAAAAAAAAGTCCACAACAATTATAATTATTAAAAAAATAAAACACAATGGCCGTTAACCCGGATCAACCTTGCCGTCTGTCTATGCTTTTAAAAGCTGTGTTGCGAGCACTAGAAACAAAATGTTATCGAAAAAGCTTTTTTCTTTTATTTGTTGTTATTAAAAAAAAATACTGAAAGTACATACTATTTTTGTGTTTTTTTTTTTGTGCTGATTTGTTGGGGAGACGATGTACACGCCCCTTTATGAGCGCTACGAGATATGATTTCCTTCCACATCATGGCAAAATATGTACAACAGTGAATCATAAATAAAGAGAAGAAAGTTTGAATAAAAAAGTGTATTTGTGTTATTGGTAAGTGTGTAAGTATTGTATAAAAAAAGTATTAAGCATTAATCGAAAAATATTTATTTAACGTAATTTTTTATTGAAATGACTGCAATGAAAACAGGCGTTTCCGATTGATATTGATAAGATAACTATGTTCGTCGAACTACGGCGGTGTATATTCGCACAAATGTGGATTTATTTTTAACGACTGTATTTCTTTTGATTATAGTATGATTAAACGCCTGTCATACGCTTTGATGAACTTTTTCCTTTTCGCTGAGTTTTGTCTCTCCAAGAGCACGGTATGAAGTTCCTACAATTCTAAATATAACGTAGGAACTCTATACCTCGCTGATGGCAAAAACCTGTGAAAATTCGAAATTTCCATATGCTCATGTGGACACATCCTGTTTACGGAATTTGTTGGAATGGAGCATTGGACAAGGAAACCCAATTCATTTTAAATAAGGTCTAAAAAGTCTGAGCATTTGGAATAGACACAAATTCGCTTGAAAAAATAAGACACACATTTTCGTAGTTTTTAAAGTTAGCAAACCTTTGGCATTTTCATAATTGCAAATAATTTGGATATTTTATTATTTGCATTTTTGGTGTTGTATTCTTCGTTTGCTTGTTAAAATTACACTTAAATTATCCTTTCACTGAACTTGTTGCACTTAGAAACGCTATTACATACATAAATAATTTTTCGATAATTTATTATTTCCGTTAATTTTCATTAGAGATATTTTAGATAACTTTTTTTTTGTAATTTTTGTTTCACACTTTTATACTTTTCACAACTGAAGCTCATTTTGGTTTTGTTTAAAGTGGGAAAATCTTACTCCTTAATTTTTGATCAATGCACTACCATTTATTGCCTAGTAAGACATTGTTAATTTCTCAGGCATTCGAAATTCCGTCGCTTTTTAGTCATTGGAGATTTTTTCGCTGGTATATGCGCGCCGTTTATTTGTAAAACCGAGCCACCGTGGCTAGCGCGAACGCGATCAATAGGCACAAAAGCGCGCACTTGTACCACAAATTTCATAATCCATAACCGCAACGACTGATCGTTCCACAGCGACTGAGCTCAAATACTAATGGAAATCCATTCAAGCATAGCAATAGAGTGGCGTAAGCAAGAACGCCAACGTCGCGCCATCAAACGCGCGCACTATGCCATTCAAGGTGCGGTGCGGCGGGGACCGTCCCTGGCTGCGACTAAGCACAAAGTGATCGTGGCATGGTGATTTTTGGCCAGTTGAATGCTGCCGCCTTTGACAGCGGTTTCGCTAATTATTGTTATTGAGTATTAGTGGTTAAATTAAAATTCCGATTGTGCTAACGGTACGATTGCAGCGAAAATGTGTATTTATAAACATTCTGGCCTTCACACTCACTGCAACAGCACACAATTCTAATTTCAAACATATTTAAAGAAAGCGGCAACTTTCAAGTCCAACGGAAAAAACGCGCCTTCGACTCAACCTAAACTCGAATACCAGGCGTGATCTTTAACGTCGTTTTGAGAGGCAAGCTTACAACTTGCCTTCAATAACCCAATCTGGATTATCGATCGGTCTATGGTTGCATGCGCTGTTAGCATCGACCACGGCGTCAGAGTTGTCGTCGAGCGTTGTGGCGGCAATAGCCGTGGAATAGAGCGTACCGCCAAACTTTAGAGCGTAGCCGTGGCAATTTTGACAGGCTGCATCGAAATCGATCGACAGCCCCTTCCACACGAACGACACATTAAAACCTAACGAACCTCAATGAGCGGAACAGAGCATGGCTCGGCGGAGAAAAATCACCATAGGAAGTTGAAGTGTGGGCTGGTCGGCTTTAAAGAGTTCAGTTAGCGTACAGGGGAAAACGCCTGCGATGAACTCGGTTCATGAAAAACAATGCAGCAAGTGCATTTCACTTCCAGTAGCACACAAAACCAGAAACCGTAATTTGAACGCTGCTGCTGTGAAACAACAGTTGGATGCAGCGCTGCCCTGCACTAAGCTCGAAGCACTACCATCACTCCACAGTGCTTCAGTGTTGAGTATTGGGGGCTGTCACGACGCCTGGAAGCTGGCGACAAAACGGCCAACGCTCGCGCGATTCCATTCGCCACAAAACCACATTCATCTAAGATCACAAACACATTCAAGCAATTCTATTTGCCAATGGAGCGATATCAGCACGACAAGCGATCTCTACGAATGCTGTTACGACGACAAACGCGGTTGCCACGCGTCTGCGTCACATAAGTTAAGGCGAAGCACCACTAACGATCGGTTAATCAGCATCTAGCTGGGCCGCGACTCATAAGGTGGTTACTTGACGATCTATCGTCGCGATCAGTGCAGCTTGGAGTCACGTATGCATCAGTAGATACTTTGTTTGTATCGAAAATGAACTAACGAAGTGTTGCCGCCAACATTACCAGAGACTGCACTAAACCCACCGACGGCGTTCACAACTCGGTTGTCGCAAGAAGACTGGACGAAGCTTTGAGTTTTGAGCGGACGATAGGCCACAAACAACGCAGCCCAATTGGCGGCTGAGTAGCTAAGAAATGCAGCAGCAATACTTATGACGGTGGTAGTTGCACCGATGAGGTTTGTGCTCATGGTGGTGGCTGCCACGTGAAGTGCGCTCACTTGCAATTCACTCGCTAGCAGAGCAGCTAAACGCTCATGCAATGGAGTCCACGAACGCGATACCTACGTGGCGATGGCCACATAAGAATTTAGTCATAGTCAAAGTACAGAGAAAAAAACGTAAACTGGCTGAGTAGGTTCGCTCCTTGACTATCTGGTTGGATTGTCACTGCCACGAGTAAACAAGCAGTCAGCGCTGTAGCGACGCGCACTATAGCAATTCGGCAGCGCCAGACAGAGAGTGTTCCCGCGCGCTTGAGAGAAAGAGCGCAGTTGGAGCCGTGATGGAGAAGTATGCAAAGGGCATGGAGGTCCGCGTGGAGTGGCGTGGCGTATATGTGTGTATACTTATCGCTGACGCATGCAGAGTGGAATGATTGGCAGTACGCTAAGCCACATTGTAGTACACTTATATGTCTTTTATGTACGGTTGTCTGTACGTAACTACATACGTGTTTTTGTATGCATATGGGAACAGTGTTGCCAATGATGGACTTTTTCTACCAATACTGGTAGGTTTTTTCCACTTGGTAGGTTGGTAGGTTGGTAGGCTAGATTGGATTTTGGTAGGTTCCGCCACAATAATAGTTATTTGCGAAAAATATAAAATATGTATATCCAAACATTTTAGAAATCTTGTTTACACGAATATTTCACTGGTGCCTTCGTATAACGGCGATTGTAAAGACGTAAATATACATACCTGATTCGTTAATACAATATTGCCAATATACAATATGTACATTCAAGTTATATACTTTATGTGCCTACAACTTAGTTTCAATTGAACTCAACTAGAAACTACAAATGTATGTACATACTTATGTACAAGTCCTAAAGACTGGTGTACTGAAAAGGGCTTGACAATAAACTCACTGAAGTCCACCGTTGTGCAAATGACAGAGACTTCATGGTAAGATTTAGGGTCTATTGGTCTTTCAACACGGTAGTAAGAACCGTTGTCACATATGTGGCACTGGCCTGATGGCCAAAAGCTAAGCAGGTAAAGGCGGGTGCCCCCTTGAGCAAGCTGCGCCGACTGGTCCGCGTGGCCATCACAAGAGATATGGGCCTCTGTCCAGCGGATGTCATTTATGCCATTAAAGGCATTTCTCCTTTGTCTATTCTGTTTGAAAACGAGGCCCGCTGGAGCACCTTACGACTGCCCAATATAATCAGAAAGAAAGTTGGAGATCTGCTGGGTCATTCTAAAGGCTGGTTTTAAAGGCATTCCTGGATAATCCCAAGTTATCCTTCTACAAACCTTACAAGGTCAGAATTCCTGAAAAGGACTGCAGAGAAGTGACATCTGCCAATTCCCACATACGCAACTATATTCCAGGCTAAAGTCTTCGCAATCGAGGTCTGTGTAGAAGGACAAATGGGGCCAAAATAAATTTAATGTCGGATAGTCAGGCATGTTAAAGGCCTTAGACTCTTTTAAAACGTCATCAGGCTTGCGGACATCTGTAAAACTCGTTTGAACTACTTGGAAGCTCACAATAGTGTAATGGTGTGGTGGGAGGCGGAACATGAAGGGTTTGAAGGCATCGAAAGGGCTTACTGTCTCCAAAGTCTGAAGCCCAAATGCGCTTGCATGGTCCATAGCCTTTTGTGAGATGGCGGATGAAACTCCAGAGCATATTCTATGAGACTGCTCACGTATCATAAATAGCAGACTGATATACCCTAGGGGACGATTGTCTTCTTGATCCAAAATTTTAAACATGGTACTCTCCAAAGTGCATAACTTCTTAAATAGCCTAAGGTTGGAGTGATTGCAAATAGGGTTAAGCACAATAGATCTTGATGTAATGTGGAACGATTTTCCGTAACCCCTTGTCAAATTTGGTTTGAAGACAAACCGGTTTCGGTTATCTATATTTTTAATAAACTTGGCATTGGATAAACAATTTCAAAACTTCAAAAATTTTTGGTCGGTTTTGGTTGGCCTTGGTAGGAAAAAAAATTTGTTCGTGGCAACACTGTATGGGAATATAATCGATTGTAAATACATTGGTGTATATGTGCACAGAGCGTATGAGTAACTGCGGGCTGGTTGTGCTGCTGTTGTTTCTCACTTTTATTTTTGTATGCGTTTTTATTTATTAAGTTTTTTCTGTTTCACTTTGCGTTATACTATCTTTAAATTTGTTTTTGCTATGTTGAGAGTTGCTTTTAGCTTATGCGGTACTTTGTTCCCCACTTAGTAGCTCGTTGCTGCATTCATGTGGATGCAACAGGGCAATAGTCTGCCGAGAAACGGAATTGCCAAGAAACAATGTCCAGTGGACAAGTGTTTTCCGTTGTAGGCAACTGGCCAGTATAGCAGGTGATTGTCGCAAGCAACTTCATACATACATATGTACATACAAAACCATAGCTAACAGTACATACTTTTACACATTTTCATGGCGTGTTGTAGTATTTTCGTTTTTTTTTTTTGAATGTTTGTATTCATACATGGATACATGAGTATGGATATACATCCTACATACATACGTTCGTATTGTTATAAGAATGTTGCACATCAATGCATCTAGTATTACGTACACCTCTGTATTTTGTGTATAAACAAATGCGTATGCGTGATTGTATGCCTATGGATATGTAAAAAACACGCATTCATTTTGATGAGTGATGTGGGCAGTATGTTAAACTTACGGCTTTTAGTGAGGTGCTCATAATTATATAGTCTCAGAAATCTCAGTCGAGATAAATGTATTTTATGAAGCCATTCACATGAATTTCGCCATAGGTAGTTGATCACTAGTTCCTGAAATGAAAATATATTAGTTTAGAAATCGCAACGGCTTTTCTTGTGGGAACATTTGTTCTTATGACAGTAAAATCTCCCATAAGCGGACACTAATGGTCACCTACTTTTTGTCCGCCTATGAGAGATGTCCGCTTAAGGGAATTTCGTAAAAAATCACATTAAAATTCAAATTTAAAAAACTTAAAATGTGGGTTTCTAAATTAAAATAATATTTATTCTTCAATAAACAGAAACAGGATGAATTAAAATTAAATTCAAACTTATGGTGTTTTCTTTCCTACCGACAAATCTCATACCCCGCTTCTCTCAAGCAGCCAGAAGAGGGCAACGAATAAGCAACACTTTTTCTAAAATAGAAAATATCTTTGAATATGGACTATGTATGTTCTAGGGTACATAAGCACAAGCGAAAGAGTCAACATCTGACTGAAAAAACAACAAAAATTACCGCTTGTTAAAGTTTCGCGTCCGCTTATGGGAGTTTTTTTTTCATAACTTGACATTTTTGAGTGTCCGCGTCCGTTTGTCGGAAAGTCCGTGTATAGGAGAGCATTTTGTACGGAAAAAACCAAAAGCTGTTCGTTCCCAAGAATGTGTCCGCTTATTAGAGCGTCCGTCTAAGAGAGCTTTCTCTGTATATGTAAATTCAAATAAAGTGACATGTTTATCTACGGTGACCCATGATTCAATAATACAAGGTTCGATAAACTGGCAGTTGTCTTTCGCGCACGCTCCCTTAGCAGTGGCACCGTGTTGCATCTTTGCAAATTTAATTGGAAAAAGTGTAGCTTTGCTGTGAAATAGAAGTATAAGCTTTTGTGCAATATGTTTATTTTTATATGCATATAAAGCACATTTAACCGATGAAAACATAATTTTTTTTTTAATTTGGATGTTTACATAAATCTCATAGTAGTTTTAATTTAATTTTGAGTCCTTTTGCAGTTTTTATACAGTTAAATAGCACATAAATTATGTAATTCACGTAGAGATATTATTATTTTGTTCAATATATCGTTTAAAATGTCATATTTCCTGCAAATTCATTAGAATTTACAAAATGAATTTCACTACTAATTGCCTACTTTGCGTACTTTTCTACTACCATTTTAGCAACAATTCTTCCCCTTTCTCTGTCCTTCGTAAATGCAACCTTTTGTGAGGGAGTGTCAAACCGCGGCTGTCAATAATTATCTAACCTTGTATTATTGAATCATGACGATGACCATATTTATGGCTGCCGAATACGGGACAAGAAATAATTTTGTTATTTTGTTCCACAAACGCTAACAGATCTTGAAACCTTCTTCAATGGTCTTTTATTAACCTTGGCATATATTTTTCGATCTATAGTGGAAACAGCCCATAATTATTCAGTAGTAGCATCACAAAATTATAGGAAATTTTTTCGATAAGTGAAAGAAGTATGACGAAAATATCCGACTACTTTTGAAGCACGCGTGGTAATCAAGGCATTACTTTCCCACTCGGTGCATAGCATCCGGAACGAGCTGAATTGTATGGTGGACCCTTCAATACATCCACTTTCCTCCCCAAGTTTTAGAACTTCTTCTTCGTTGGGGCTTCTCATGTGATGCAAGATGCAATCCTTCGTATAATCATAAATAGTTTTTTCTGCGTAGTTTCATCACATAAGTGTCCTTTCTCTTCGCGAAATTTAAAAAATTGCCTCCACACCAAGGTACGTTGGACAGGTATTAGCGCCAAAGTTTGATATATTAAAGTAAAATGTAAATAAAAATTAAAAACGTAGGACGAAATTCATGACAAAGTCAAATCAGCGGCTCTACTGGTGCTACCTGTTCAACTCCCCTGGATCCATATGAAATATTTAAGGTAAAACGTGTTGAAAGATGAAAAACGTTCAAAAAATTACTAGTGAAATTCTGTCGAAATTTTGTTTTTAGAAATTCGAGCAATAATAACTAAAGTCTAATTTTTATTCATACTCACAAGTATAACTTCAGAAACTATATATGAGGTCCTATATTTGAATTACTTTGCTTAAACTGGATAATTCGGTAAAATTAGATAAAAATAATATTCATTATTTCCGCGCTCCAATCTGAACTGAAATTTTTGTATGGGTTTGGCTCTAGGCATACACCGACGCGTCCACTGCTGGCGTTAAGTAATTAGTCGCAACTAAGCTTTTAACGGTATAATTGGAAATTAAACTAGTCGCCTTTCATAGGCGCTGGAGCATAAGGGTTAATTTTAGTCTCTTCATAGAACAAAATCAAGGATATTAAAAGTTATATAAGGTACAACTTTTATACAATTTACTTAACAAATGTCATTGGCAGTAACTTCTCGGAATCTCGAACACAAAGTTTACTTCAAATTTGCATAGAAAATCCTAATTCCAAAATTTCCTGCCGAGTTCACATACATACATACTTAAATCACTAGATGTAACCTAGCACACGAATTCAAATTTAAATGTTTTGAAGAAGTCCCCTCCTCAAAAGTATTTCCAAAAGTCTTCTTTCTAAACTTCTTTAATTTGATAGCTATATCAATTAAATTTAGCTAAATTTTCAAACAGGTGGCAGCCCTCCTCAAACATATTTTCGGCAGTAAGCCTTCTTAAAAATTTAAAGTTTGATACCCAAATTGCAGTATTTCACTTATTTTATAAATTTAACTGAGTTTAAATTTTCAAAAAGGTGGCAATTCTACTCAAAAACATTTGCAGCAGTAATATTTCTTAAACTTCTTTAATTTGATACCCATATTGTAATATTTTATTTATTTTATCAATGTAATTTAGTTAAATTTTCAAACAGGTGGCAACCCTCTCTGTAAGCCTTCTTAAAGTTCTTTACTTTGACATGCACATAGCAATATCGCATTTATTTTATCAAATTGACTCAGTTAAAATTTTCAAATAGGTGGCAACCTTCGTCAAAAGTCTTTTCAACAGTTATCTTTCTTAAACCTCTTCAATTTGATACCCATGTTGTAAAATAGGTGGCAACTCTCAAAAATTTTTACGGTATCATTGGCTTCGGTTTTATACCGAACAATATTAAAAAAAATTATTCAAATCGGTTCAGCCGTTCTCGAGTTTTGACGACCGTGACATACGAACACAACATTTTTATTAATATAGAAGATGCTACTGGTACAATGCTACTGGGTGAAATAAAAAGGTTCACTAAGCAATTAGCCTATTCGAATGGAATATGGAGTTGAGCTATTGGCAGTGTTGCGAAGTTTTGAATCTTAAAAAGCACTAAAACCCAAGAAAATCGCAGTTTTTCTAGAAAAAAGCACCAAATCTTTATTTGAGTATTTAATGGACTTTGTATGCATGAAAAATTGTATTGTTGGGATGCCGATTCTAATTAATAAAAATCAATGTTTTTTGCTCGGCGGCCGAATTTAATCTGTTTTCTATAAATTCAAACATTTTCGCTTAGATGTAAGCAACATTTATTATTTTTTCCTGACTGTTTAAATGTTTAAATTTTCTTCGTTTTGCTTAATTTTTTCCCACAATTCCTATAAAATGAAAGCAAAAACCAGAAATGAAGTATCATGAACTATGTGGTAGTTTAAATCTACAATGCAGTCTCTTATGATCTCGTGAACTAAAGGAACATGAAGAACTTTTCTTTCAGGCCGCTTAATACCTGAAATATAACAATATTGGAGTTTCCTTTTTAATGTGTCTTATTTGAGCGTATTATCCACGGGCGCTTAGTAGGAAAAATATTTTTGTGTCACAAAAACTGTCTACTCTTCAATTATTATTATATGTTTCAAAAGGTTCGTTAGATATTAGCTTTACTGTTAGGATATGCTGCTGCTTTTTTGAATAGTTGTAAAAAAATATAGCAAATTCAGGCCAAACTAAAGGTCTAGAGAGCGATTCCTGATCGCAGCAATGGCGAATTACCGAATGTAATTTTGACATGGTTGATCTTGGTACCTGACCGGTCACAACTAGGAATGTTAATTTTTTACTGGTAATGCAAAATTGAATGCCCCACTTTTCTTAGAATATCGCCGTGGGAAAAATAATGCATTTTCCAATGTGAAAACGGCTGTTTTACTGATTATTTTTCGATTACAATACATTACATTATCCCGCTGGGATATTGCACTGAATTTTTTAAATAATTTTTTGAAATACTCATATCTTTCAAATTTAAAATTTCTTTTAAAAATGCTGACGTCAGAGAGAAAAATTAAGAACGCAATTTTACTATAATTGGCCCTTGGTTTGGCGACAATATTGATTGTTTTTGTGTGCAAAATTGCCTGTAGCAAGGTATTATATAGCCGTTTACGGTACAAAACCGCGTATCAACAAAATGCAAAGCCGCGTATGTGGGGTTGCATAAATCATTTTCTAGAGAGTAAAAGTACTCATGTTTCAAAATAGTTTTTTTTTTATAAAGCAATCGCATTTCTGGCTAGTATATTTGAGGACTAATGGATAAGGATTGAGCCAAGAGCTTGTGTGAGCAAATCCAATTTTTGGCAGCAAATGTCAGTAACGCCGCTTTGCGTGACGATACGCGGTTTTGTACTTTAAACGACGATATGTATTGAGCTACACATTTATAAAAAAAAGTTTTAAATATTAAATAAATAAAAGAAATATAGCCAAAACTGGTCCACATAAAGCGTTTCTATTATTGCCACCAGTGTAAATTACAAATCCTGAAAATCCCAAAATTGTAGGCAATTAATTTGGGGACTTAAAAAAGACCGGTATCATGGGATTAACATTCCTAGTCACAACCAGTCGCGATTCCACTTGCACCAAATAAGTGTGATCACAGAGTACTTTTGAAGAAGTTCTTTTAAAGCTGTTTTTAGTTCATAAAAGTCATACGTCTTTAAGGAATTTAAATATTTAAAGTTCAGATCAAATATGTTTTATTGAGACTTAAAATGCTTATTGAATAATATTTGTAATGCCAAATACATATTTATGTATACTTAAGTACATTCGCGTAAAT